TTAGTTGGGAGAGATTCTTGCATGGATCAGTTACATACCACTGTTAGTTGGGAGAGATTCTTGCATGAATCAGTTGCATACCACTGTTAGTTTGGAGAGTTTCTTGCATGGATCAGTTACATACCACTGTTAGTTGGGAGAGATTCTTGCATGGATCAGTTGCATACCACTGTTAGTTGGGAGAGATTCTTGCACGGATAACTTTAAAAACATGTTGATGACAATATTTTACAGTTATCAAGATTATTTAATGTCAAATTGATTCGCATTGTTTTATCCATGTTGAATAGCCGAGGTTGGTGGAAAGTTTTGAAAGGCCCTCAAATTTTGAATTCGTGCACAATATCTTTATCAATATCAACATCTTCCATTGATGTGTTTGTGCTTGCATAACAATCAGAAATGATTGAGTACTTGATTGTTTGCATTTCCCACTGTTAATAATTTTTCGCTGCCATTTCAAACAAAAACAAATGAACAGCAGGTTTTTACTTTGCTGTATCATGTATAGAGAATCATCATTTAATGATTAAATCAATCATTAAATAAATATTTTCTCCAAAGTAAATAAAACAAACATTTTCACGACAATAAAGGTGTTAGTTCCCAAATCAATTATGATTAAGTCAAATAGCAATAACTGTATGTCCATTTTAAACTACAATTCTCATAAATAGAAATTATATTTTGTAAATTATATGAATGAATACAAATAAATATAGAATAGAGTGTATTCATACTTATATAGCAAAGCAAATCTTGTGGGCTTTTAGGCATATCAAAAAGGGAGGTAACATGATCATGGTTGCTGTAAAATCAGTATTTACTCTCATTATACAAGAATATCACCCAACAACATTCATTTAAAAGAACTTCACAACTTCTGAATAGCTAGATATTGCAAACTAAACTCATAAACATATTTTGATAGTTCGATGCAAGTTTCTTAATAAAAACTGTTCCAGTAAATAAATGACAGTTGAAAACTTGAATATACAAATGTTTCAATATTGTCAATAATAAAATTATGCCTTTTATAAATATACAATCGTTGTGATTTGAACCTTTGTTAAAAGAAATCTACAATACAACTGTCTCTAATCAGCTTTATTATGAAGAACACATACCTAAAATGAAAAGAGAAATTGATTTTCTTCTTTATTGAAATTGAGCTACAAATTCATTTCCTCTTCTTCTATTTCCTTCTATATTTTCTCAAAGACAGGGGTGTTTTAGCTTCAAGCACATAAAAGATAAATAGAATACCAAATGCTTCAGTTTCAATATCTATAGTTTATTTATAACGAAGTAAAGATTGTTATATATTATTGCAGTTGAGGTCCAAGAGCTTTTGTTTCAATTTCTTTCGCTCGTTCATAAAAATCTTTTGCTTTTTCGTACTCTCCGATTTTACTGTAAACCAATCCCAGATTGTTGTACGTTGTCGCAATATTAACATGGCCAGGTCCAAATGTTTTCGTTTTAATTTCTATCGCTCCTTTGTAAAAACTTTTTGCTTTTTCGTACTCTCCCATTTTACTGTAAACTGAACCCAGATTGCTGTACGTTATCGCAATATTAACATGGTCAGGTCCAAATGCTTTTGTTTGAATTTCTATCGCTCGTTCATAAAAATCTTTTGCTTTTTCGTACTCTCCCATTTTACTGTAAACCGAACCCAGATTGTTGTACGTTGTCGCAATATTAACATGGTCAGGTCCAAATGCTTTTGTTTGAATTTCTATCGCTCGTTCATAAAAATCTTTTCCTTTTTCGTACTCTCCCATATTATCGTAAACCGAACCCAGATTGCTGTACGTTGTCGCAATATTAACATGGTCTGGTCCAAATGCTTTTGTTTGAATTTCTATTGCTCGTTCATAAAAATCTTTTGCTTTTTCGTACTCTCCCATATTATCGTAAGCCGAACCAAGATTGCTGTACGTTGTCGCAAGATTAACATGGTCAGGTCCAAATGCTTTTGTTTGAATTTCTATCGCTCGTTCATAAAAATCTTTTGCTTTTTCGTACTCTCCCATTTTATCGTAAACCGAACCCAGATTGCTGTACGTTGTCGCAATATAAACATGGTCAGGTCCAAATGCTTTCGTTTGCATTTCTATCGCTTCTTCATAAAAACTTTTGCTTTTCGTACTCTCCCATGTTATCGTAAACCGAACCCAGATTGTTGTACGTTGTCGCAATATTAACATGGTCAGGTCCAAATGCTTTTGTTTGAATTTCTATCGCTCGTTCATAAAATCTTTTGCTTTTTCGTACTCTCCCATATTATCGTAAACCGAACCCAGATTGCTGTACGTTGTCGCAATATTAACATGGTCAGGTCCAAATGCTTTTGTTTGAATTTCTATCGCTCGTTCATAATAATCTTTTCCTTTTTCGTACTCTCCCATATTATCGTAAACCGAACCCAGATTGTTGTACGTTGTCGCAATATTAGCATAGTCAGGTCCAAATACTTTTGTTTGAATTTCCATCGCTTGTTCATAAAATTCTTTTGCTTTTTCATACTCTCCCATTTTACTGTAAACCGAACCCAGATTGCTGTACATTGTCGCAATATTAAGATGGTCAGGTCCAAATGTTTTCGTTTCAATTTCTATCGCTCGTTCATAAAAATCTTTTGCTTTTTCGTACTCTCCCATATTATCGTAAACCGAACCCAGATTGTTGTACGTTAACGCAATATTAACATGGTCAGGTCCAAATGTTTTCGTTCCAATTTCTATCGCTCGTTCATAAAAATCTTTTGCTTTTTCGTACTCTCCCATATTACTGTAAATCAAACCCTGATTGCTGTACATTGTCGCAATATTAACATGGTCAGGTCCAAATGTTTTCGTTTCAATTTCTATCGCTCGTTCATAAAAATCTTTTGCTTTTTCGTATTGTCCCATTTTACTGTAAACCAAACCCAGATTGTTGTACCATATCGCAATATTAACATGGTCAGGTCCAAATGATTTCGTTTCAATTTCTATCGCTCGTTCATAAAAATCTTTTGCTTTTTCGTATTGTCCCATTTTACTGTAAACCAAACCCACATTGTTGTACTGTATCGCAATATTAACATGGTCAGGTCCAAATGTTTTCTTTTCAATTTGTATCGCTCGTTCATAAAAATCTTTTGCTTTTTCGTACTTTCCCATTTTACTGTAAACCAAACCCAGATTGTTGTACGTCGTCGCAATATTAAAATGGTCAGGTCCAAGTGTTTTTGCTTGAATGTCCATTGCTCGCTCGAGAAAATCTTTAGCATTTTCATATTCTCCATTCTTCCAGAGCAATAAACCCAGCTCTTTGTACGAATATGAAACATCAATATGATCAACACCTAACACTTTAGCTTGAATTTCTGTTATTTCATAAAATACTTTAGCTGCAAGTTTATAGTTGCGAAATCTTTCCAGAACATCTACAAAATATTTGGCAAATTTCCAATTTCTTTCATCAATTTTCTGTTTTCTAATGAAAAAAAAGAGTGATTTTACATCGATCAACTTATTTAGGAAATGTTGAAATGATGAATTTGTTATGAATTTAATTAGATGTGGAATTATTTTGATTTCATCTTCTCTGCCTTCAAAATTATTTAGTGCCCAAGCAACTTGACAGGCGAGATCAGCTGCAGACTTTTTTGAATTATTTTCGTTTTGTTTCCAACCGAAGTTCTCCGATGAATAATTTATGATGGCTTCGTGCACAACGCTGTGCAGGCGGATGTCGTTGTTTTCTGTTTGAAGGAACAAAGAACAATGCTTTAATTCAAGACAGACATCTTCTGCAGATTTTTGTGGATCAACGCTTTTAATAAATGGTATTATAACACCTTGTGGTAAGGGATCAAAAGATATTATTGAGAAAAGTTTAAAAACATGTTCCAACAAGTTGGATTCTTCAGCATTTTTTTGTACTGCTAACATAACAGTTTTCATTCCTAAATAAGCTGAGTTTATTTTTTGAAAATTGCCATCCATTTTCTGTCGCCCTCCTTTATTCAACTTATCAAAATATTGCTCCCACGTGAATGTCGGATTTGCACTTTTTACACTACCTGCATAGTAAGCAGCATTTGCCAGGACCAACGGTTGACGATCTAATTTCTCTGATAAATCCTTTAAAAATTTTTCATCTTTATTATGAATATCAGAAAAGACAGATAGAAGTTCTCGACATTCTTCATTGTTCATACCATGACTAACTGAAATGTGTTTATTTAGATTTCCATCTGGTGGTATAGCATCTGTATTTTGGACAGTTACAATAATTTGACCATTTTTCCAGCTATGATCACCAACTTGAGGTAATAATGGATAAATTTTATAAAGTTCAACCACGTTATCTACAACAATCCACCATGTTTGCCATGATTTCAGTTGCTGTGTCAGCAATAATTGAAAATCTTTAATTTTATCTTCGCTGCTTTTTGCTTCTTTCAGAATATTTTCAATGACAGTTTTATCATTGTTGAAACGTTGACAAAGTTCAGCATAAGTTTTTAAAAGGGATTCTGCATCATTTCCTTCGAGTGTCATCACAAATGTTGTTTTATTTTCCCAGTCTACTGACTTAAACATTTCTTTACAAGTTTGTCTGGCTAATTGCGATTTACCACAGCCAGGATTACCAGAAATATAGTAATATGTTAGTTCATTATTGTTAGTACTGCGCAAGTTATTGAGATCTGCTGTGATTTGATTAAGTAACTCTGTACGTTTAACGACATCGTGATTTGGTTTGCAAGGAAGTACTTGAAAAGAATTAAACTTGTTTCTTTGACTTTTTTTTTCATTAATTTCATTAAATGAAAATCCTAGATCTTTAAACGACTTTTCAATATCACAAAGCATCATTTGAAATTTGTTATCAGAAACTTTTCCTTTGTTTTCATGGATAAAGTTGTTTCTGATAACACGAAGTTTATCCACAGCAGCCTTAGATTTTGGTCTAGTTTTGTTCCAACTGAGTTGGAAAACAAAATTGCTGCAAATAATGTCGTACAATCCCACTTACTGGTGTCACCATGCTGAAATTTTGTTATAATATGTTTGTCATGAGGTTTCTTCTTTGTTTTTCAATATAGAACAACTTCATACCACTGACGTTTGTATTTTCCCATTCTCCGAGAGATTTTTTGTAATAAGTGTTCCACTTTTGGATAAAAAGATCAGCAAGTTTCTTTGTAACATCAGTAAGTATTTCTTGCAAATAGAAGTTATTAATTTTTTCTCTTGACTGCATCTAAGGGTCATAAAATTATTGATATCAACATAAATTGGTTCTTTAATTAGAGTTTATAGACAACTAAAATTGTTGAAGATCAAACAGCTACGTAATGTTACAGTTTTATTTGTACGTGTAAATGAATATCGTGGATGGCAGCTGAAAATAATGAATTTGGACATTATAGTTTTCCTGCATTTAGGCATTTGGCTACATTTTGGTGATGGCGTTGCCTGGATTTAGCGAGTATGGGGGGGGGGGGGCACAAATTTGTACCACATCCGTCGCTAGCAAAATGGCCCTCAAAATTGCTTCTGCACTGGGAAAGTTTCAAAATATTAATCACAACCAGAATAGGTTCAATTTGTTAACTTCCCAGTTAAACCTTGGCGGATTTGTACATTCTTCGTGTTATAACGTTACGTAGATTGATTATTGATTTTAATGAAATGTCTTCATATTATAATACTTCCAGAATTGCAGTGTTTTCATGAGCCTTAATGTTAGTCATTGCTATATTTGTACTTTTGTGTCTACAAGTTTGAGTCTATGAGTATACTTTTCCACGATCTCATACAAGTTTTATGATATGGTGTAATGTGGCTCATGACATACATGACAGTATTATTATTCTTCCTTGCCCACTAGATATTTGAATTATTGTAGAATTATTGTTTTAATTTTTTCATTTTAAAGGAATCAAAGTCTTCACCACTTGGCTAACAACCCAGAAAGGGTAAATGCAACGCAAACTAGTCTACACAGCTAATAGAATGCTTCTCTTTACAAAAAAGTTGTGCGAGTTCAGTAAGAGCTACATTAATGCCATGTGCTTCTTTTTCAATTTCGAATGATCCATATGAAAACTCTTATCTAAAATTTAAATGGAGGACACTTAAGAGGCACAGCCAATTTTTATGGGGGTACGTGCCCCCTTCCTAGGTCCCACTTTAGGGACGCCACTGCATGTTGGAATGAAGATGGAGATACTGAGTTATATCATCACTTAGGTAGGTGTTTAACAATTTGTCTAACTGACACACAAAGTTTGTGCAGGCAGTCTACTTGAATACAATGACTACTTAGTCAGCTCTACTATAAAAATATGTATGAAGCAGAGTGAATTTAGCTTTTGCATTTAAAAACAATTACTATTTCTTATAAAAGATCTGATTACTTTCTAGAATTAATTGAAAAGACCACCATGAGAAATTTTTCAAATGTTATTCCTTTTCAATAAAAAAAGTTATGTAAAATATTTGGCATGTCATGTAAGTCATATTTTATAGAAAAAACAACCAAAAATTCATTCTAGTTGTGAGAATGCAGATTGAGACTGTGTGCAGGCGAACATTTAAAAAACAAATTAATTACTCACTGTAAAATGTTATGGTAAATTCTGTTATTACCATTTTATAGTATTTTGTATGTAATCGACATGTAAATTTCATGTAAATGCCATAAAATGTACGATTTACTTATTGTGTTTCTTTGCATGCATTTAAAGTATCTTTAAACATCCTAACACTTAAAATGTTTTATAAATTTGGAAAATGACAAAAAAGCTCAAAAAATTTGTCTTACATTTACACCAACAAAACAGTACCACGTGTCTGTTTTCACAAAAATATTGGGTGTGGCATAGGCTTATTGGAGAGAAGTGAAAGGACCACCAGAAGTTTGAGTGAGTGTCGGGCAGTTGAGCTTAACTCCATGGGATCGTTGGCATAGGTAATTTATGAAAAGAAAAATAGACGTCTAGTGGAAGAGATGGAGCATGAAAGAAAAGGCTTAAGTAAAGGGCGTTAGCTCACCTGCAATCTACGTACACTACGCACACAGATTAAACTTAGCAATCGAGAAATCACTCTTAGATGTTGAACTATTGCAAATAAAGTACACTTCAATCTATTTACACGTTTTTGAAAGAAAGCAACCCTTTGTGGTCACATACCCTTTTTGGTGATGGGAAATGTAACAGCGAACCAAAGCTTACACTTCAATCCCAATGGGAAACCAGGTGTTTGTGTCGTTACAAAGCCATCAATGCAGTTATTCGACAAGTAGAGATTATTAACAAAGCGTTGGTTCAATTAACAAAACATAAGAATTCAAAAACATCACCGTAAGCGAATTTTATAACTAGATTCTGCTTTAAAGTAAATGGTTTGAACCCGGGAGCATCGTTACATGTTTGTAAATGTAGATCGTCCAGGTTGGTATAGTCCTGAGAAGGACTGTTTTTGTTGTTGTTGACTGACGTTTTATACATTTACAAACATGTAACGATGCTCCCGGGCTCAAACCATTTACTTTATTACGATCATTTGGACGACAGAGCAAACAACTTGCTAACGACTACATACGTTTTGCAAGCGACGTCAGAGGCATACGCCAACAACTCTGGTTCAACCACCGCCGCAAGGACGTAAGAACCAGATAACAAATACGGCTAACCTGACGTTTACTCCTCAATTGACTCTGAAGATGTCTACCGCTAAGGTTGTCGAAACGTCAGCCAACAACAACAAAAACAGTCCTTCTCAGGACTATACCAACGTGGACGATCTACATTTACAAACATGTATAGTTTCTGCTTTGTTTTTCTAAAATAAAATTGTGAAACGTCTCAAATATACATATTTACAAAATAGCAGTATGGATGTTATCAGTGTTTGTAAACAGCATACAGAACCTTTTTTGCTCTTCAATATTGTCGTGACCACAAAAACTCTGATAGTGTGTGGCAAATGGCGGGAAACATAAAGTTATCAGAGACACAAAATTTTCATTCAAATATGCAACTGCACCAAGAATTCGCCATCTTAGAAGACACCTTTAAGCTTTGTTTTGAGAATAATTTAATAATAATAGTATGACAGATATTGCTTACCATGCATCAATTGAACACTTATTTTGTTGCTTTGGGGGACAAAGATATCTTGTTTACCATTGGTGATGTAGTGTTAAATGACAACCATGCAGAATTTTTCCCAAACAAACTTTACCTAAGTTTACATTTTTTCTGACTATCCGTGATGTATGAGTCATAAGTGTTAATGCACACACCAACCAAGCAGAACAAGAAACACATGCAACTAAGAATGATAACGACCAATATGGCTTAAAAATCATCAATTTTGTGTCAATATTAATGAATTTTACGTTGATTTCAATTAAAATTTATCAAAGATAATTGTTTTCAGTTGATCATGCATAAGATATTCTGCAAGAGATTCCAATAAGAAGTAAAAAAATGTTGTTCTTCTTGAAGATAGTCAGGTCAGAAAAATTAAAATCATTCCTCATTTATGATATGCATAACTGAAATTCTGTGACGTGTCATTATTTTCACACATCCTGTTGATTTTTACACCTGTTGTATGAATAAGATTTGAAATGAATACTTAATTAACTAAATCGTATTGCTAGTGATGATGCTGTAAAGTTCAGTGTTTTCCAACGTTAAATTATCTAAAATTTATTTGGGATTGTTTAAAAAACCCCATCAAAATCAACAAATCTTAACACGGTTTTTAATATGCACATGAAAACATGTGACTTGGACGAGTCACATGTTTTCATGTGCATATTAAAAACCGTGTTAGGATTAATATATTAGATATATACTCTGATGATGGCTTTGGAATAAAGTCGAAACACGGTGCCATCCAGTAAAACTGCTATAGTGGCAAGAATCTCTCGTCCATACGGAGTTTAAAAGAGATTTGACTCGTCTCCAATCCCTGTGGGCTTGGTAGCTCAACAGGTAGAGCGGCGGACTAGTATCCGGAAGGAGCGAGTTCAAATCTCGTCCAAGTCACATGTTTTCATGTGCATATTAAAAACCGTGTTAGGATTAATATATTATATAATCAACAAATGTTATTCATATCAAAAATGCCTTTCAACAAAGTCACAGAAAGAACACAAAAGTAAATATCGTAATCTGTAGCAACTAATTGTTCCATAGTTACCTAACGCGAAATTTGCGAAATACAAAGATCTAGATAATAAACTTCCAACTCTCCTTCGATGTAAATATTCTGGTCCTATATTCACTATAATATTAATGGTTGTACGTTGACATACCATCTAAATTGACCAAAGATCTTTAAGATCTTGTTGACTGTTTTGGTGGACGATTCTGAATATGTTTAAAAGAAGATTTGTAAATTTTATTAGACGTAAGAAATAAATGAAAAAAGTAAAATGTTATACACGTCTTGATAAAAGCCATGTTAGAAAAAGTAAAATTATCGCACATATTGACATGCATACTTAACATTCTTTGGCGTGTCATTATTTTGACTCATCTTGTCAATTTTGTAGCTTCTGCATACATGTAATATTAAATAAACTTTTCGAATGTGTAGTTTATGTTAATGTGAGAAAGGTCAGTACTTTCCAATAGTAAAATGTTCATATTAAATTACCGTTTGTTTAAAAATTCCATCAAAATTGACAAGTGTTCTCAGTATAACACATGCATATAGCACTGAAATTATTAATATAAGTCATTTGTGACAGATTACATCAAAACAAACCATTACAGGTAGAATTTAAAATCAACATACCTTCACAAATTAAGAAGCATTAAAGACGACACATCCAACTACATGATGCCTTTGCTTCTGCTTGATAATAAAGAAATTGTTATGTTCACTAAATGTTCAATATTAATCACCTGCTGTTTTTATTGTAAGATATTGATTTTTGTTCATACCCAATAGAATATGAAATGCAAATTTTTTATTTTAGCTATGACTGAAGTAAACACAAAGAAGCTTTGACTTGGAAGCTTTATGCTAATAAACCTTTCGCAGTTTACTATTATTTATTTCAATTAGTGAACATCCTGACTTACATGCAAACTAACTAAAATAATCATAAAGGAAGACGTGGCAGTTAGCCTTTTAAAAGTAAGATAGCTCAAAAGTTAAAGATTTATAATTTAGGAAGTTAAGGAAATCGATAAACAGAGCTTCTCTGAAATTGTCAGCGTTCCAACTTTGAAACGTGGTCAATGAAGTTTTGTCATTTTGTAAACTTTCGATGCTGATAAACAAGTAATTTGATCAGGGGCGTGAGAAGCAAATAAAAGTTAAAGGGCTCAAGATTTTACTTCAGAATTGATAGCGTTTGGACTTGACAGCTCATCATGCAAAGTTTTGTCATTTTGTAAACTTTTGACGCAAACAAATATTTTAAATAGTCTATCTTACAACAAGTTTAACAATTATAGACTAGAAAAAAATCACGTGTACTATTATGTGAAGAAATGAGCTTTTCACCCCAACTAGGCGCAATTTCTTAAGACATACTTAACAAAACGTTTTTATGTCATCATCTGTGTTAGGAATAAGATAAATAGATAGATGACTATATGAATGAGGAAAAAATTCTTCTTGATAAAAGCCCTGTTAGATAAAACTAAAATTATTGCACATAATGATATGCATAACTGAAAGTCTATGACGTATCATAATTTTGATTCATCTTGTTCATTTTTTAGCCCTGCCGTACCAATGATATTTGAAAAGACTAATGAAATTAATTATTGGTGACAATTTAAGAAAGGTCAGTATTTTGAAATGATAAATTATCCAATGTGCTATTGGGAAAATCCCACCAAAATCAACACATGTATTAATATAAAACATATGAAGTGCGAATTCCACCACGAAAATGACATTCAGGTTTTTTATGACAAATATAACAAAATTCTAGACATAAAAACAAACAATGACACTATGATAGGTGAACTTTATAATCAATATACCTTAACAAATTTAGAAAGATTAAAGAAGACGCAACCATGTACATGATGTCTTTGCTTTTTCTTGATAACAAAGAAATTGGAATGTTCAATAAATGCTTGATTTCAATCACCTGCTGTTTTTATTGTAAAATATTGAATTCTGTTCATAACAGCGAGACGATAAAATGAGATGGGCAAATTTTTTATATCAGATATGACTGATGAGAATACACGAAGAAGGGATGATTTATAAATTTTACAACAAATTATGTTTCAGTTAAATTTGATAAAACTTATACGCAGTTTGCATTTATTTATTTGAATTATTGAAATGTTCTGGAAAACTAAATTATTTATAAACGCAAAGACGAGGCAGCCAGGCAAATATATAATACCATTTTTACCAATAAGATAGTTCAAAATGGTTAAGATTATAAAAAACTTTTTCAATAAATATTTTTGACGATTGATACTAGGTAAAAGGGTTAATTTTGTCACATGTCAATGATCAGAGATACTTCAAAATAGCGTTCGGACTTAAAACTTGAAATCCTAACCATTAAATCTGATTTTTATATTTTTCCTTTCAGGATGCTTTAATATTTATTTTTCATTGCTTGGCGCAGGCAAACAAAGATGTCAGTTTTTTCGTTTTTTTATAAAATCGTATTTTAGTTTTGGGAATTTATTTTGAATCTTGATTGTGCTAAGGCGAGGAACGAACTGCCTTATCGATCTCTTAATCTGGAAGATCTACCATGATATGACTTCATCTCTCACCGGTTTGCGACACATAAGAACAAAATTCATGTCAAGATGAAGTTAAACAATCGAGAAAGCCTGGCGAGAAGAAATTCTTACTTGATGATATTGTCACTACAGGGAAAAGCAAAGGTTATCTACAGTCAAATAATCTTAGCAACAAAGAAAGTCATGTGAAAAAGAATGCTATTACCGATAATTCATTGAACAATATAGAGTATGTTTGATGTACACAATGTTTGGTTGTAAGTACATTTTACGAGTCACTTGCAAAAGTAGTAATAGCTGATTTATTACCGTGAGAAATAATTTTTTTTCTACTGTTTCATAGATCTAACTTCTAAAGCTGTAAAATGAATTAACTATTTTACCAATTCCATTGATTTAATGAATACTATCATCCATAGACATGTGACATACATTCAAAGCACAAGCTTAACATAAAGATTCGCAATCAATTGCTGTGTCATGTTAACAAATTGTAAGCACAACGAAGTATCAGACGAGCAACTTCATAATTACAAGAAAACTTGTTGATTTTTGGTGAATAATCTCTCTCTCGTTATTGAGTTATTCGTCTAAGTGCCGTCCGTCTCTTTACAGACAGACGCATTATACGTCTAGACGAACTATGTTCGATTCTTTGTCTACAGACACGAATAACCATTGATTATTCGTCTTGACGTATAATGCGTCTTGTGCCCGTCTTTACGCTGAAGACGCTTAACCAGACGAACCAAATTTCTTGCCCAAGTTCGTTCAGACACATTATGCGTCTCTAGCATAAAAATGCAATTGAAAAATAACAATAATCTGTACATAAAAAGCAAAATAATTGATAAATGAACATCAAACATGAAATTGCAACGACAGATAAAGTTTAAAATCAAAATACTTCACAAATTCAGAAAGATTAAAGAAGATGATACCATCTACATGATGTCTTTGCTTTTGACTTTGCTTTTGATTGATAATAAAGAAATTGAAATGTTCACTAAATGTTAAATTTTAATCACCTGCTGTTTTTACTGTAAATACTGAATTCTGTTTATAACAGCGAGACGATAAAATGAGATGAGCAAATTTTATATTTTAGATATGACTGATGAGAATACACGAGGAAGGGACGATTTGTAAATTTTATTGCAAATTCAATTTCAGTTCAACTCATTCAACTCATAAATGTTGTACACATTTAAGTATTATTAATTTTCAGTATTGACATGGGTGTGTGGACATCTTCAAGTGAGTTTTAACCAAAAGCATGATTTTAACACTTATAATTTCTAATTTTTCCTTACAATTACTACGAAAAGAGGGCCGTTCAGATTGTGGGCCTACATCCTAATCCGACGCTGTCGGGCTTATTAGGAGACGGGAATGTATACGATGAACGGAACAGAAGCGGTCTCGTCTACAAGGAAAATGAGCAAATCTGGCGGGGCCGGGTATAAACACCCTGCTAAAGCCAACAACAATAATCTCGTAGAAGAAGGAAATGACGGGAGAACTATTTTGGATGACCTTAACAGGAAAGTCGATCAACTTACTGTCTTGATGAATACTTTTGTTCCTGTCGTAAAAGAGCTCAAGAAAGCTTATGATTCCGCATGCCAAATGAACGATGGTGTAGATATGTCTGAAGGTGAAACAGATGACGAGCACTCAACCAACGGGGCTGCTGCTGTAGTTGCAGATACAACTTCAGCTCTAGCAAATCAAAACGATGCTTTGGTATATGAGCTGATTCACGAAGTGACTGAGAATGAGCCGACGGACTAACCATTGACAAATAAAATTTCTAAAATCCTGACCAGCATTTTGTCTACCGGACTAAACGAACAAACATTATCAAAACGGAAGGAAGGGGTAAAACGCCCCCGAAAACTGTGATCTGTTAAGAGTTACAAAGGTGAACCCAGAAATTTGGGACATTGCTAGGAAATCCACACGTAATGCGGATGCACGCCTGAAAAAATTGCAAGAAATCTTAATACACAGCCTTATTCCGATTTCCCGAAATGCGGGAACGATTAGTACCTCTCTTGAAACAAACCTTACAACACCTGTGCCGACACCAGAGGTTATCTGGGATGGGCTGTCCACATCTATTGTGTTCATCACTTCAGCTAATTATGATCTGAACATGTGCCGCAGGGACTTGTTCAAAGTTGACCTTGATGAAAATTACAAGGCAATCTGTAGTAACAACGAACCTGCTGCTGCAGAACTGTTTGGTGATGATTTAAAGGAACGCCCGAAAACAGTAAAAGAAAGCAAAAAGGCTGCACAGCAACTGACAAGCCAAAAATGGAAACGCAACGATCAACCGTCGACCAGCTCATATAAGTCCAATGTGCCTTTTTTATCCCATCGTCGGAGCGGTCATTTGCAAAGCCGACCCCAACGACGCAACTATTATCAAAACCAACCCAAGAGGAAAGTCGAGACAGGGGAAAAAACACTAAGAAAGTGACTCCTATTCTCGACCATGTAAGTTCTAGTAAACGTGGGTGTAGTACTTCTATCATATCTGGGAGAAAATGATCTTAGTATAGTTGCAGGCCGGATACAACAATTTATTGGGAAGTGGAGGGAGCTAACTCACGATCCTTCCATTTTATCAGCTGTAAGCGGTACAAGATTGATTTTCTTTTAGACCCAATCCATCTGAAACAACCCCACTCTATAAAAATATCTCCTTCATAAGTCCAAAATGTCGATCGTCAAGTTACAAAATTTCTAGAGAAAGGTATCATTGTTACAAGCGTGCATGAACAGGGCGAGTTTATCTCCAATATCTTTTTAGAGCAAAGAAAGATGGATCTTTTAGATTGATATTAAACCTAAAAGAGATTAACACATTTGTAACATATCACCACTTTAAAATGTAATCTATCCATACATGTACTCAGCTCATGCGACCTGGGGTCTACATGGCATCCGTTGACCTCAGAGATGCCTTTTACTCAATACCAATACACATAGAGCATCAAGGAAAGGTAGCCTCTACCAATTCGCATGCTTTGCTCAAGGATTATCTTCCGCTCCACGTTTATTTACAAAGATACTCAAGCCTGTATATTCTAAGCTGAGAGAGCTTGGGCACATTTCTAGCGGTAACATTGATGACTCTTTTTTAATTGCTACTCCTACTCAGAATGCGAGCAAAACGTACATGACACTCTACAATTGTTTCAGAAGTTAGGATTCCTACCCCATAAAGATAAATTTATTACAGAACCCCCACACAGATTTTCAATTATTTAGGATTTGTGTTAAATTCTAGAGATATGGCTATCTCTATATCCATAGAGAAACAACAAATTATGCGAGGTTGCCAGGGGGGTGCTAAAATCTGACTCTCCTAGCTTACGGGAAGTGGCCAAGTTAATTGGTATGATTATCGCTTGTTTATCGTGATCTTGATAGGGACAAAACAACAGCCCTTAAGTCTAACATGGGTAACTTTAATTCGACATTGAAACTCTCCCTTTGGCGCTGGAGGACGTATCTTGGTGGGTTATTATTGCATAAGAGTCCAAAAAACATCTGAATCATGGCAAGATTGACCACGTATTGTATACAGACGCCTCTACCAAAGGGTTGGGACGCAAGTAGTAACAAACAGTCCACCGGAGGGGAATGGTCAATCGCCGAAAAAGATTCGCACATTAATTGTCTGGAACTCAAAGCAATACTGTTTGGACTACAATCTCCCTGTAAAGATCTAGTCCACACCCACATTAAAGTAATGACCGATAATACCACGGCCCTTGCATATATTACCAATATGGGTGGCTGCCACTCTCACCATTGCGATAAAATTGCAGGGATATGGTATATTGTGTACAGGGTGTATTGTGTACAGGGTGTATAATGTACAGGGTGTATAATATACAGGGTGTATCAAAAATCTTTAGAAATTGACGTATTGTGATAATTTCAATTGCTACGACTAGGCTCAACACAATACTGCATAAAGTATTGTTAGCTACGTGCATATACTTGCGCAAAAGCTTTTCTGATCCTGGGAATTTGACACAAGTTCTAACAACAAAACATGCGCTGAAATGTAACACAGAGATTAGCATCGTCATCAGGTCTTGAAATTTCACGATAGGTTACTTTCTAAATGTCGTCTTTGATACACCCTGTAGATAGCCCGTTCATATAAACGTGCCTGCTATAGTGTATATTTTGTCCACTAAATTTCGGTCGACCTTCGCCAACGTGCAGTTGTACTACTTAGTGACATACGTACAATTGTACCATCGTTAGTATTCTAAACTTCCAAAATGCGTTTGGCATGACGATTTATTTATGTAACAATGGTTTGAAAATAACAAATCAGCTTAAATAGTTACATTTCGTTTATTATCATGTTGCAATGACTTCAAATTTATCTGTGTAAAATACAAAGTACTTTCTATTAGACCTATCCATCTTGTTGTTATTCTAATTAAATAAGCCCGATCTATATATAAGTTATAACTTACCTTTTTCCTTTTATAAACCTTCTCTTTAGTGGCGCATAAAATCGAATTGATATTCGTGCAGCGGGATGAATTTAAATTTAAACCTCAAATTTTTTACGCAAGTGCGGGAACCAATGGCGCGATGATTGGTTGAAATAAAAAAATATTGTTTGCGCGATTTACGTTTAACTTTCTCCCGAGTCCCCCCGACAGACATATTCCGCGCGTACAATCATTGTACAATCGAATTTGCCCGTTTGTTTATGAGTGTTTGGAAGTAGATATGCGTGCGAGAAAAAATGGAATAAAAACTGTATGTAAGTGACCACTAAAGATGCAATTTCAAACAAACCGAGAACCGTAAATACATTGCGATAAATGTTTACAACACAGTATGAAATATACAGAGGTGAGTTAAATTTATTGATTTATTATCGTGGATTTTGAACTAAACCATAATTTTCAAGTTTTCATGAGTTAAGATGTGTAGTGAAATGCCCGAAAGGCAGCACATTTTTTTTGTTCATTTTCCTTTTCAATGTCATTGCCGCATTCGTTTAATCCCGGTTTCCATAAGACTATCGAAACGAACGAGGCCATCAAAGCGATTACAATTGTCAAGATGGAACTCTGTTCTATCTAGACGATTAAAACGACTGCGTGCAATATCGTCCCTCCACGCTTTCAGACGACAGACGATCGAGACGATTATATGGAAACCGGGCTTTATGTGTTAAATTAGACTACACACCAATGACCTAAGAATGTAACAGTAACGAAATATGTAAACAATAGCATCAACCTCTGTTTGGTTTAATACTATGACGTTTTTCAAAACTTAAGTCATACTTTAAGACTTAACATAAATAAGATACTTTTTTTACTATTCTCAAGATATTGACTTATAATTATTACTAATCTTGCATTCTGAAATACCTGTTGGAATATGGCATTATTCGCTTCTTCACAAAACACAGTTACAATTTTACCTTATCATGTGCATTAAGCAAATCATATATTTCAAGTCAATACATTGAATCATAGTGCACTTTTCTATCCTTTTAATAGCATAGTAGGGTTATCAAAATGTCATGAAAGTTTAAGTTTGTTTTTGAAGCTAAATTAGTGCATGTTTCAATCTAGATGGCTTCTTTCTATCAATGTTATCAATTGTAGATTGCCTTCATTTCGGAGAGAGAAATTTGAGCAAAGGGGCTCCTTCCCTCAAATACCAATTTGAACCCTTTCATCATGTCTAACTTGAATCTTAATATACGTAAATGATACATTTAAATTACAGAGTTTTGTTTTACCATGCTTGGAGTATTACAGGAATTTGTTACTTTGTTTTATCTCTTCCTAATCTCTCTACATTTCTTCAGATAGCTTCAACCAACTTTTCCAAGAAGCTAGACCTTACCTTTGTTTGAAAATTCAACTGTGGCTATAGTTGAAACTTGCATTAAAGATGAAGCTAGTGATGAGGCGAATCAACATGAGAATCTCCATTTGACAAATATAATTACACAAAGTTGCTGCATCCTTGAGGAAACTATAGAAGCAAGGTTTGCCTATAAACAGTGCATTTTTTGGTGTCATTGATGAAGGGGTGTTTTTATTTCACATCAACTGCATCACAACTTTGACAGGTGACAACTTCTGTTTTGATAGGTGAAATTATAACCTGCCTTATTTTTACAACAATATTCTTCCAATTCGCACTTTTCCACAATTATGTAACACTTAATTTATACATTGCAGTTTTTTGCCTTAATTAAGTTATAAAATGGAACATTATGTCCATAATAGCATTTTCAAAGAACAGACCATGACTAATGTCTGTCAAAGGAAAAAATATGAATCAAACAGAGCGAGTTGTAGTTAATAGAGAGGAAGGGGTTATTTTAAATGTATGAACATGTCTGTTGTGGGTTTTCATCTCTTTGCTACCTGCTGTAGGAATCAAGATGAACAAAAAAGTCAACCTTTTTTTATTAGTTTATTGTCATTATTCATATTGTACAATCCTTAATCACTATGGATTTCAAAAGAAATTAAATAACTACAATAGTAAAACATGTATACAGTATATAAATATTACTGTCCCCCCCCCCCAATCATCAATCAATAACCGCTGCGCAACAAAATGTCCTCCCCCCAAAACATGTTTTCAGTCATGTTTTTTTCTTACATAATCATCTTATTAAAATTTTTTGCAACTTGATCCTACAGTTGTTGGGACATGTTTTTCAAACATAAAACAACTATTACACTAAACCAAGGATCAACACAAAGTAATGACAAAAATCTATTCAATACAATTCTAAAACGATTCATACTTATCATAAGAAAAATCTTCTTGAGATGCCCCCTCACCCTTTCAATGCGTCGAAATCATTTAACACCTCACTGAATCCCGGTTAGCCTGGCTCATATGAACAGCCCCTTTAGTGACTAATTCTCCGTTGTTAACATTTCTTTAATTAACGTCATGACTAAATTTTTTTATTGTAACTGGCTCCTTAGGAGCATGTCATCTTTCACAAAGACTTGCGTTCAAATCACCTTCAATACCTTTGAATAAAAAATGTCCTTAGAATTTTCAGATTTTTTTACGTTTTAATGTCGTTATGCAAAGTAACGATGCTTGATGATGTAGGTTTAGATTCATGAGACGATATTAAATTTGGAAACTCTGCTTTAATTTTGTCCAAATATTCATGATATCTTGCAGTTGCATCTTGCTAAGTTAATGTTAGGAGAGGGTTTAAGAGTGTTTTTGTTGACGTCACGAACATCTTAATGCCCAAAACGATGATATTTGTGTTATTTAATAGGCTGAATAACTTTAACTAAATAAGGATTTGCGAAGTATCACAGAAAAATGGTCAATTATCATAAATGATAATTGACCATTTTTCTGTGGATATGAGGATATTTCTTTTGTTTGGCAACAATACGTTTTATTTTTAAAAATAAGATTTGATAGATATCCGGTAATTTGTTCAAGTACAAACTATGATAGTTAAACAATCATGTGGAACAAATACATATAATGACATGCTTAACACCATGCATAAAAATACTATTCACTTCAAGTGTTGCCACAAGTAAATCACGAGGCGTCGTGAAAAGCAGATGTTGTTCACATGAGATGGAACAAGACTATACACATAGACGACAAGTATAAAGATTTGTGATTGTGCAAAGCAAAATAAAGGTGTTGCCTTCAAACCCTTTTAAAATGTTTTACCCACGTACTTGCTTCGGTATCATGTATAAAAATAAATCCCACGGCTGGAAACTAATTGTAAGTGACTACGCTGACGATAAATGATTATTTGCTTCTTCATTTATCTCTATATTGTTGTTTTGAAAATCTCAATGTTTTTTTATTGATGCTATTTACTTTTGGTTTGTTTCTTCAATGTCACATTAGTCATTATTGAATAGATGCAATGATAAATGCACTAAATTTGTCGTCTGTCTCCAATGCACTATGTGGTTGAGCGCTGGAGGTGCTGTTTTTTCAGATTGTGGTTAAGAATTGCAATGAACGAGATCCATAATTGTCTTTTGCTCGAATTTCTTACAATATTTTTAGTACTCGAGAAAACTCAGGGCAAACAGAGCGCATTTATACCCTCTTCTAACCTTAACCTAGCAAAATATGACTACAAGATGCAATAAATATTTGGGCAAAATTAAAGTCTAGTTTCTACATTAACTATCGTCTCTTGAATCCCAACCTACCACATCATATCCCGTTACTTTGCGTAACGACATATAAACGCAAAATAATCTAAAAATTCTGATGAATTATTTTCATTTAAAAGCACTGAAGCCTTCACTGAAGGATTACTTATTGTCTTTTTGAATATGTGACATGCCCCTAAGGAGACAATCACTATAAAAAATTTTTTTTATGACTTATATTAATGAAGTGTTAACAACGGTAGTCACTTTAATTTTAGAAAACAAGGTAAATTCTCTCTATTTTACTGTCTAAGCAGGGAAGTATGAGTTACATGGAATAACAACTAGTCTTACTTGTTGGCTTTGTAATATGAAAGCTTTCACTGTAAAATGCTTCGACCACGATGTTAAGCATTTGATCGTTTGAAAGTTCGTGTTGCATCGTTCAATTTTCAAACTCAACTGACTAAAGCTATTTGTGCAATGTAGGTTAATGTTTTACCATTTGGATAATCAAACGGAAAACATATTGTAACTTGCTCATCCTCTATATATCTGATTCATATTTTCTTATATTGTAGATCCCACATGGATGGAGTTGTGAATATCCCTTTACCACCTGTGTCATTCACTGCAATTACTCTTACTAGAGTGTCATTACTCATGTGTCATGGTGATTCATGGCCAAGAATGTTCATTTGTAGTTTAGATTCTTTGTTGATGTCAGTTGTTTGTTCATATAATTATGATGGGCCCCATTGTTATATGAGCCCACTTAAAGATGGTCAGCTGATATTCACAGAAGATCAACTCTGCACTAAGCATTCTTTGAGTGATGATATAAATGGTGTCTTGAAGTGATCCGTTTTCCTTTGCTTGAAGTTACCAATTATAATCTATGGAAATAGCGATTCATGATCTCAGTAGATACTTTATTGGTTAATGATGTTGGTAACTTCGTGTATGGAATGGTACAAACGTTTTGAATGGACATCGTATAACGGCATATGTACGTATGAACATTAACATTGGAGTAATTGGACTATAAAAACGAGTGTATTCTACGAAGATGGAAAAGAAGCGAGTGGAAAAACACAATCCATGTCTTGTGGTTTGCAAGTTGAGTAGATAAGTGTTAAAATTAACTTCCATAAGTAACTGCATGGGATCGTTAAAAAGGATCCTGATGATCTATTTTTATAATTTGAACCATAATCATGAAAAACTCCCAAATTAAAAAGAATATCAATAAAAGATGTCACTTGCTGTAAGAAAATAGCTGGCTTTCACTTGCTACTTTTTCCTAATTTTATTTAACGTTTATAAGGAAAATTGCAATGCTGCAAGTAGGGTTCATCGAATTTCTAAGATAAAAACATTGCAACATATTTCAACGATATACACGCAAGAACTGCGCGGTGAAAAAAGGAAGAGACCGTCTAAGTCGCCTGGATCAGACTGACCAGGACAACGCTTCGAAATCAGGTATTAAAAAATTTTGCTCTTTTCAGTGTATTTAAATTCTTTTTTTGTTCATTCATTATGCTGACATTTATAACGTGTTTTTTATACAGTAGCTATGTCTGTTGGCCTACTAACTGTGCAATGAATGACGACCAAGTCAGACAGAAGCACCAAGAGACAAGCGTCTTTGATTATATTGTGTATAAAATAGCTTTCAAGTTTGTCCTACACCAAATCTATATTGAAACTCTCGGGGGACAAAACTTGCCATTTCCCCGGGGAGGGTACAGAAAGTGTTTTGTTATTTAGGAAAAAAGAGTATAGATTTTGACAGCTTTTCAATAAAATCGACTATTTATTGGGAAATTCGGCCGGCGAAATTTCGTTGCAAAATTCTAATGGTGACCACAGCATTTTAGGTCGACTTCCGAGTGTGTTCTGAATCCTTTTTTTTTTATCAAGATTTGATTTTCGTCGCTTAATAAGCTCGAGAAATGTTTTTTTAGTTTCAGGAGCTATATTTAGGGACGAAATCTTGTGAAAAAACAACAAAAGAACGTAGATAGAACTTAAAAGAGTTGATGTTACTTAAATTAAAATTAAAAGATATCACAAAAAATACTTAATCTTGATGGAAAAGTAACATTTATATTTATTAGTTAGCACTCTAGACTTCGCTTGATTTCTTCTTATTTGGTGAATGGTTAATTAAAATTGTATTGTTAGTCTTGATTTCAGGACTTTCGTACCAGAAGGAGAAAATGACACATATGCCATGTTGTTCGTCATGGTCGTTTTACCCAAAAACAGTTGTCATAACTTCGGGTAAATGAAGTGCATCCAAATTTTATCAAATTCAACAAATTTTTTGTTCATGTGAGTGTATGTTTCCTATACATAAGTTGGGAACCGAGGCTGTTAGCGATATACGGCACAAAGCGTCGAGGGAGGTATTCCGATTACAGCTGTGGTTCTAGTCCGCTTTTTAACTTATACGATTGAAGACGTTTTCCAGGAGGAACAATTTGACTATATTTTTTGTAGAAAATTGTTTGTATAAAAACTAATTGTAATACAAACACAAAACGTGAAACCATTTGCCAACTGCCAACTTCCCTTTATGGAAATAATAAAGAAGTGTCCATTAGTATTTGAGTCAAAACAGTGATGAATCCTAAAGGTGTTTATTTAAAATTCATATTTTTTGCATGCTGTTTTCATTTTGTTCGAGCTGTGTTGTGGTTAGTAGTGATATCTGAAAAAGAGTGGTCTGGGCAGGTTTAAATTTTCGTGAAGTTGCGAATTTTAAACATTTCTAGACATGATTTACTCTGAGCAAGTTAGAGCCTAAAGTTTAAAGTTGCTTGAGAATCATTCTCTATGTCGTTGTGAAATACAATGTTGTTTCTTTTGGGCAAGAACTTGGCTTTTTGAAGTTCTCGAATGTACAGAAATATGAGATTCAATCAATTGACATTAGATCCGACATGTAATGAGCAGTCTAAGAAGCTTTTGGGTGTGTGGAATATTTTGTCGTGGATTTGAGGAAGATGATGATAAATCAAACGTGAGTGAAATATGAATGTAAATAAAATATAGATTTAAAGCGTAATTCCTCAACTAAAAAGATTATGAATTTGCAAGCTGCATCCAGATACAGCCTAGAAATACCGGGCTATATTCAGATACAGCCCGGAAACTTGGCTGTCACAGGGAATGATCTTAATACACCCATGAATTCATGCAGTTACGCTGAATACAGCCGGCGGAACATAAAAAAAAACGACTTTTTTCTCTAACAACATTACATAAATAGATGACTATATTTATAATCGCTAATTTTTATTTATACACATAAATAAATGCTTTTCATATGACAAGAGAAGAATGTTAGGAATAAAGCTCAAAAAGATGTTTCATAAATTTAAACTTGGTACTCACGCTACATACGTTTTCATAGAAAGGCAACATTTTGAAAAAAATTGAATCAAATCTTTAAAGCTTCAATATGCTCAACGCAAATATAAAGTAAAGCATATTTTTTGAGTTATATGTCCTTTATAAGAAGCATGTAAAAAATTTATCTTAAGTCGTCCAGTCGTCTTAACCCTACTAAGCATAAAACATCAATTTATGAACGACTAATCATGAGACACTGGATAAAACTTTTTAAGGCGTTGTCGGCATATTTTAAATGTTGATGTATGACCTTATTTACCCGACTTTTCAGAGAATATTGCCCAAGTGCCTTTGTTGTTTAACAGTTGGGTGGAGGGGGAGATTTGAACAAAGAAAAACAATACTAAGGCTAAATATAACGGTTTCTCAGCTAAATCGACAACCCAGATATCACATCGTCTTCGCTCTTTTCACATGCAACCATCAACTGATAAAGAATATTCTAATACGTACCATAGTGTACATTTCGCAAACTAAAGTATGGAGATCGCTGGCGTGCGTTTTGCAATATTAACGTAGCGACGTATAAATGTACCTTCGTTAGAATGTTAGTGTAATAAATCACCAAAATGCGTTTTCCTCGACGAAAATGCGATTGTAACAATGTTTTGAAAATAACAAATCAGCTTATTTACCAACATTCTGTTTATAATCATCTAGCGTTAATTGCAAATTTATTGCTGTGAAATAGAACATACTTTCATAAAAGTGCGCATTTTGTGTAATTCTGTAGAATTCCCATCTTACCTTCCGAAGAATCCGAACTTTTTGATCTTCTTTCCTAGACTCGAATAATTCTCTTTTTTGAAACGCGTAGGTGGTTGTAGGTATTATTTGAATGAGAAAAGTTCCCGCCGCTCTATGATTGGATGATTTCGTTAATACAATCGTAGATGTAAATATGAGGGTTCTGGTAAATATACCTGCGCTGTGATTGATCGATATCAGCTTAGGCTCAAAACATTTGCAACATATCACCTCCTCCCTCCCCCCCCCCTTACAAAGCAACGGTCCTGGTGCTCATGCCAGCGGAAGTAGTCGTACAAATACGTGTTGAACTTTTTTCCTTAGTCTTGTGTTTTTGTCATCGTTTATGTGGTTGTTTGGTTGTATGAGCTATGAAAATTTATATGTTTGTATGAAATTTATGAAATGAAAAAGAAAAGAAATCGTCAGAATGAGCGCGCGAGCGATGCAATTTTCAAACGTTGCATGCTTCATGATTCCGTAAACACATCGTCATTAATGTCTGTAAAACGTACAGTGGTAAGTAAAGTTTTTTAATGATTTATAATATAGATTTTGAACAAAATTATCTGGCGAGTGCATTTTATTTTATATTTGATCATAAATGAAACAGTAATTTTGAACATTTTATGAATTATGCTGTACAATGTTGTCATTGTTATTGGGGTTTAGTTGAGAATGACCTAAAAGGCAACACATTTGTTTTTTTTATTGAATTTATTTTAAATTTTAATTTATCAATGCTGCATTCGTTTATGTGTTAAATGAGACAACACATCTTTGAACATAATGGTAGCAAAATATTTAAACAAAAGCAACAACCTCAGTTTGGATTTAATCAAAAAAATGCCCAATACAATTATATTTTTCAAAATTTGAAATACTTTGAGACTTATTATAAAGTTACCAGTCACACAACATCTCTTACTAATCCTGCATTCTGAAATATCTGTTGGAACATGGCATTTTTTGCTTCTTCATAAAACACTGTAAGTGTTGGTTTTATAAATTGTTATATGTATGTATGTATGATCTCAAAAGCACCAGATTAATTATGGATTTAAAATAAATAACAAAATTTTTTATTATAAACATGTTTCGACTTTCCAGTCTATTGAAGTTGACTTAATGTAAGTTGATGTTTATAATAAAAAAGTTGTTGTTTATTTTAAATACCTAATTGTTATATGTGTTGGGTTTTTAACTCACCTGACCATTTAATATAGTTTTGAACAATGAAAAATCAAATTTGAATCTTGGAAAAGATGACCATGTCTACTTAATATAGGTGGACTGTTCAGTAAAGGTCACTTAAATAGTATTTATATTTTGAATTTTTGGGACATTACCACACAATTGCCAAAAATAACCACTGTATGAAAAAATGTATGCTCCAAACAGATGATTTCAAACTAGTCGCTTTCTTACATAATTCATTCATATTTAAATTGTTATGCATCAAGATTGTTCAGTTGTAGGGAAACGTGTTTCAGTTCCTAAGTCCCTGACATAAAACAACTATATTACAATAAACCAAGCACCCACAAAGTAATAAAAAAATTTCATTTAAGATAATTCACTTAAGAATGACTGGCCAAAAAAATTTCCAGTGCCACATCTTCCTCTATTGTATGTCAAAACTACACATTATTATTCCCAATTGCTAATTATTGCTCAAACTAGTAAATCAAATGAATACAATATTTGTCACATTACCACTGTCTTGAGAAATTACATTTTTATTGTCTTTCACATGTATAAATATTGTGCTTTAGCACATGTCTCACTTGCTGGAAACTCTTTAAGATGAAATTTCTTTACTCAAGAATTTTAGAATGAAACGAATGAACTAAAGACTGCTGAGTCTTATAGCAAAGAAAATGAATATTCTGAAGATGGTCTGTAAAAATAACTTTCATCCTCAAATATGTAAGAAATTTATAATGTACAAACTGACGAGTGGCGAACGTTTGACATTTTCTAAAGAAATGAGTTCTACAAAATCAGCATAGCCCGTTGATAGATGTCTTAAAATCAGAGTGGGATTTTTTCTCTGTAGAGCAGAGTATGTGCTCAATACTGCCAACAATTACAAGAGATACTATGTAGCTATGTACAAGCTTAAACCGTTAGCTACTTATATATGACCAACAGTGAGATATTAATTATCGTGCTAATTTAACGTTTTTTGCAAAGTTTTCATGTAGCTAATATTTTTCATTGTATATTTAGCGTACCTATCTAAAATTCACAGGCAACGTATGTAGTTCTGGGTATGTGGTTATTGAGCAAAAACATGTTTAAATCACAACTTACGTTCATTCGTATGCAATATAAATTTCTTCATGACATGATGTACGTTGAACTTTCATCTTTGAAAAACATTGCTTAAAAAAGAGTGTCGCTATTTGTTGGCAACTTTAAAATTTAACTATTACGAATTGGCAATAAAAGTAAAATAATCACTCATATATTGATATATACTATTATTTCCATTTCAACTTAGGAAGAATTAGTATAAGAATTGTTTCCTATGGACGATGTAAGTTTTCTTTCAACGAAAAATTTTTCTTTATTCCATATTTGTAGAGTGATTTACTGTAATCCAAGAAAACAAAAGTTTTTTAAAAGAACTTTCTCCATTACAGCTTTACCATGTCTCCTGCCATTAATGAGATAACCACTATAAAACATGGACAGATTTACTGAGGAGGGTTACAGGGTGGGCACGCAAACTTTAGATTTAACTTCCAAAAATAAATTGCACACCCCTGTCGGAAACATTTGAACTCCCTCAATTTTTAGCGAAACAAATCAGTAGTACAGTTGAACTGGTGGGTTTTTCTGGGCAATGTTTCAACTTTCTTTAATATCTTTTGTGGCTGCACTACCAGACCTCCCCTAAAATCTACACTTTTATTGTCGTCACTTCTTTACCCATTGACTATTAAATTAGCACTTTTAATTTCCAGTATTTTCTTGCGTGTAGCATTTACTGTGAGATAAAAAATTTCTCTACCGAAGTCTTATACTGTATATTGTGGAATAAGTCTTGTAAACCAAAAATTCTTTTATCAAATTGACTAATTTTCGTCAATTATTGAAAGAAATTAGGATAACTAACGCGAGTTTATACACATGATATTTAATCATATAGTATTTCTAGTCACGCAGAGATCATATGGCATTCTTCCTGAGATCAATACTTTTATTTTCTAGTCATCATATTCATTGGAGAAGACGCCTTCAGAAAATTTAGATAAAATTGTGCAAAGCATTTTCATTAAAAGGTAAATATCATGCATTAAGTATTTGTTGTTCGAATTTCAGTGACATAAGTAAAGTACATGGGAACAAACTCCTGAATTCGAATTCCAATTTGTCACAGATTTTTAAGATTATTTCCGTGAACATTCGCTATCTATTTGTTGCTAAAAGTTTGATAAATTGTATGAATTATAATAAGCAATGCAAAATTACATGCGATCCCAAAGACTAGTCAGTGTAAATCACCTTTAATTACTGCTTGTGATTAAGAGGTTAACTAAAAGCAGCTTTCACAAGATCGAAATATCTTCGAGTCTTCGACAGAAGAAAGAAATCATTTAATAAACATTCGCTCCTAGAAATGTTGGGACATAACACTTCCCAAATTTGAATTTATTGTTTCATTTTTCGTTGTACTAATCACTGCAATGTTGGATGAATTTTTGATATTCGTTTTTTAAGTAAAAATAGTTGATATATGTGATTCTACCATTGTTTTGATGTGAAATGAACAAACGCGCGCTATGCATGATGGTTGTTGGCAAATTCTATTTCACAAATTGAAAGAGTTTTTCAAAATTTATCTGTTGAAATTCCACTTTATTCTTAAGGTGTTGACAGTAGTAGACTACATTTTATTTTATCACTTAGTCATCAGTCAACATATTTGTGAAATGACAAAAGGCTACTCTCCTTAACAGCTTTCAGTTTTATTATGCACCACGTCTGGGTCCGCAAAGAATGATGGGATTTTGTTACGACATAATGACGCATTTGCACATGTGATATTTTATAGTTCGCAATCTCTTACTTTGTCATGATCATTCTCGTTGAACAGAAATTATGCTCGTTATTGACTTTAATGCATGGCTATAAGCACGGTACTTATTACGTAGTTGCAACTCTAGATGGTGTAGTCGATGTTTATTGAAATTAAATGATGTTTTGAAGTCAAATTGACTAGCTTGACGTTTTTTCTTTATACAGTGAATCATGAATCGACGACGACATTATTAACGTTGATCAACAAGAATGAGAAAGTGTTTTATGTACTGAAAGAAGGTTAACATGTTTGAAATAATAAGAATTTTTATTGAATTTTCAACCCTAAAGATTGAGTCCAACACATCGTTTCAAAGATAACCATAAATTCGTTTTCTTATATTTATTAAAACAAAGCAAGTGACGTTTGTCGTTTTGTCTCGACTCAAGACATCTTCAAACGAGATGTAATTACTTAGATAGTTAAGGTGTGAGGTTTGTGTGGATGTGTACTTACAGTGTAAAGCTGATATTGAGTATTGTAAGGAAATGTAAGAAAGATTGTACAAGATATAAGGGGGAATGAGTAATGGGGGTAAATTTACCATAAAGAGAGCTGAGGAGGACGTGCATCGTCTCCCCCCCCTCCTCCCAACTATTGCAAAGACCAATTTAAGGTTTTAAAATCTGAAGAGAATAAAGGGAGTTATAGATAGTTGCTTTCTGTGAGAACACAACAAAATAAAGTAATAAACAGAAACTTTTGAGCATCGTAGTAAAGCCTTGGTCACACTATCGTCCATATCGACAAAGAAAATCGTGAACAGAAAACTCGAAAATTTCGTTCTTAGAAGGATTAAACTTTTGACCTTTTCGTTTACGAAAACGCGTACAATTGGCTAGTAATCTAAAACTTAATACACAAAGATGGCAGAGGTGGCATGGTTTAATAAATCTGATGCGAGAAAAATAATTTGTCGTCATTCGCAAAGTATTTTTATGAGTCATTTTCTTTTTGTTCTCGTAACTCTTTAATCAAATTGTTAAATAATCCGATCGTTGTTTATTAACAAGTCGATCGTTGTTTATTAATTAGGTCAATCTAGTATCGGCGTTTGATTGTCTTGCTAAATGCTTGCTTTCAACTTCAGAAGGGTAACTTCTTGCCAAAGAACACTTTTCCTTTTGCTTGTTTGTTACTGCAACGGCTACTACAAAGACACATCCAACAATAATACTGTTTACGTTTTAGCCGATCTTTGTAAACATGCTTTGCAATTTTACGTCGTGTCTGGCATCTTGTTCGTGCACGAATTTTGTTTTGTTTCGTTTTCGTGAATGAGACGATAGTGTGGCCTGGCTTAAGTCTATGTAATTAGTCTGAGAAGTCTTGAGTCAAGACGAAACGTCGCTTCTTTTTAAATAAGCACTGAAAAGTCAAATGCATGGCTTTCTCAAAACGATCTGTTGGGATCTTATCTATATTTAAATTCGATTCACACCTGACACCTCACTGGCAACATTGAAATTTAATAAATTCTTATTAATTGTTGTCTACTCATATTTACATTATTTGACATGTTTTGACGTATTTTTAGTTGCATCTGATTGTTGAAATTTCATGTTCCATTGGAATCCTACAATGGCAGTACGGCCCTACGAACAAACGATTTGTCTCTGAATCGAGACAGTAAACATCAATATGCTGCCCTGTTGAAGTGCTAGAAATCCTACGGAGGTAATGGTTACCCCAAAGGATCGGGGGGAAATTGAAAAAACAACACAGTTGAGAGAACGTTGCTAAATCGATCAGCGTACAAGGCTCGCAAAAACCTTTCATTAAATAAGTAGTTTGACTTTCAATGATTTATCTAATGTCAAATTTTCAAAGTGTTTGTAGATGTAGATCGTCCAGGTTAGTAGAGTCATGAAAGACTGTTTTGTTGTTGTTGATGTACGTTTGACTTCATGGCAGTCGTCACCTTTAAAGTCAATTTGACTTTCTCAGGACTCTAACCATGATGATCTACATCTAAAACACTTATTATTTATTGAAATTGTTTACAATGATCATAAATATTACATCCATATGCAATTGTTTAGCAAACTCAATAATTGAGGGAGAACTTATTCATACATGCATGTTCTGCAGAATTAAATTCTTTTTGAAATCCATTGTTTTCGATAGATTAATACATGCATTTATAAATTTGAACCCTCCCTCCTTCCCCATCAACGAGTTTGCTACGCTCCTGTTATGGAATAGACAGAGTAAATTAGAACATAAATAGAACATTTTTATCATTAGTCCATAGTAAAATGTAGACTTACTCAAGTAGGTAATTAAGGTTCAAATATTGTCACGTCAATATAATGCCAATGTCATTAAAAGGAAAGTACATACAGGTTAGATATATTAAGGGGAAAAAGAACTTGATATTTTTTGTATCCAATAATTTCTAGTCAAATAAGGAGAGGCGCCCTATCTTTTGTAACCAAATAAGTTTATGTTGTCAATAAGTTATTGAATTGTCAGGTTAATGAGAAATTCATTAAGTATTCAAAACTAACAAATTCAATAACCATTGGAAATAATCAAGCATTTTAACTGTACAATAACTTTATTCGTAAGTATGTTTAACATATTGGCCAATGGTGTGTAAATTGCTTATATTCAACGAAATTTTTGTCCCTCTTTTTTGTTTCTAAGCACAGTAGATCGGGGATTCATCGTATATATTAATCACATTCTGCTTCTCTGGCCTGATAACTTTCTTATGTAATCAACACCTTGGTCCTTTGGGCTTTTATTTGGAAAAATGTTTTGAAAAAAATTATAAGATTTTGCTATTTTGTTGAGCAAAATAATATAATGACTTTAAAAAGTTATCTATAAAATGGCCATATTCAGCCGTCTAGAGATCTGAATTTTCAAAGTTTTCTCATGATTTTGCCTCCTCTGATCATTTTCTCATCTAATCATCTGACATATATTTCTTGAACTAATAATTCTCTTTGGAAAGAAAAATATCATGTATCACAACTTCGTGAGCATTGTAAACCTTCAAGTGAGGGCCTGAGGGGATGTTAAAGTAAAATAACACGTGACATCTTCAATGACATGCGTGGGCGATTAATGTGTGGTATAAATATGTCAATATAGCGTCGGTCTTAGGGGTTTTATCTTTTTTTTCCTCGCTTTGGCTTTGCCAGTGGGCTAACCTTTAGACTTTTGTACTAGAAATTAATTTCTGGTACAAGTCTAAAACCAGCCTATTTAACTGTAAGTTCTTCGTATTAGTTTTTTTCTAATACAGAAGAACTGCTATTCTATATTAACCTATCTCCTATTCTAAGTAGCCTTATGTCATTGTTGTGAGTTACATTAAGATCTGACGACGCATTTCACCAAAATATTTGACTGCTTCGAAATATGGACGAACAACTAACAACAATCATCGAAGGCAAACCCAGGCAGATTTTCATTACTTTGTCTTCTACAGGTTTTGGATGATTCATGAACTTTCTCTAAAATATATTCTTTTGAATATCTTACGTGGCGAAAATATTTTAGCATTTCGATACGATTTGTTGTTTTGAAGTGTCGAACTTGCGTAATTTTGTTGATTATACGAGCATAGCTGCTTAGCCAACCATTTCAAGTTGTTTAGTGTGAATCACATCTTGCCTTGCTTTGATATAAAAAAAAAACGTCAGCAGGAAATTTTGTTTGCGGTTAACAATATATAGATACAGGATCGTGACCATTGGTTCTATAAGACCTGGAGGAAAAATTGGCCTGGACCCCGTGAGTCAAAAACTTATGTTGGTAATGGCGGATTTTGGTGATCAAATCTTCTATAGATATTATTGTGTATTACTTACAGTCTTTTGGAATTGTGTAATGTATTTCAAGAACAATATACAATTTTTAAAAAATGTTAACCCCTTCGACCACTACTGCTCTTCTGTTTTGCTTGAACAAAAGTTCCATATATGACTTTTTGATAAATTATGGCAAAATTTCAAAGGAACTAACTGTAAGTCAAATGTAAGGTTGCCAAACTTTTGTAATTATCATTCCTGCATTAGTTTTGCAAATTCAGATTCAAATTCGAACAACTACGTAGTCCGTACTAAACCAGTGAAGCGTTTTCACGAATTATGTGTTTTTAGGCTGTGAAACAAGCGGTTTATTGGTCTGTATCTAGATACCATGGATCAGGAGGTCGAGGTGGCATACAATCACTTCTTCTGCAAAATCAAGCAATGATTGAGTAAAATTCAGCGTCTTTTCAAATGGTGTATACTCTTGTGCTATTGTGCCCCCTCTGCACTAGAACAGGCTTTCACCTCAGGAAGAGGAGTGCGTTGTTAGGTCAGTTTCAAACATTAAAATTTACATCAACCAGATGCATTGAAAATAAAGAATTTGAGATAAAACTCCTCGTCATCTTTTGTTTTCTAAATGGTTTTACTGTATGTAAAGTTCATATATTTCTTGAGTAACAGAGTTTGAATGAATAGAATAAATCAGTGTGGCTTGTTCCCCAATGCGACTTTAAACGCAGCAGGAATGTTCTTATGAGCAAGGTAGCCGCAATTCAGGAAGCGTTAAATAATTTTGGCAATGAAAGATTAAATACTACAACAAAAAACCTAGTACAGGCAATTTTCTTATACTCTGACTGCATATTTCAAAACCTTTAAAAATGAAAACAAATAAGTTGAAAATTGAAACTGAAATGACTTATGACGCTTAAGAAATGGTTGTAAGTTTTGCACTCAAACTTTTACTCCTTTCACTTCCTCAAACTCATTTCACGCCTCGCTGAATCGGTTACTGGGCTCATGTGAACACCCCTTAACTAAAAGTTTTCTATGCCTACCTACAAAGGAACAAATATACAGGTATAAATTATAATCTGTAGACCAACGTAATTAATCCTGTCATGCTTGTAAAACCACAGTATATAGAACATACATTAGAGCCACTTCATTCAATTTTTGTGCCACGCGTATCTCATTGCGCGTGTGATTATCATAGTGGCAACCAGTCAATTGCTTTTGACTAATAGTTGAACTGAGCTGGCAAATGACAGACAGTAATCTAAATATACAACAGCAAGTTGCACAGCAAAGTGGACCTATGTATATTCCCAATACTATGATAAAACAATGGAACATGTCGTGCATCGCAGCAAATAATCAGTAGCGTTGTGAATGATGCTCACTGCTGTGTCTTGCACTGGGGAGGGACATCAGGCTTTCGAGTGCTGTAGCAAAATCAACTGCGCTATTACAAGCAAAGGCATCATAATTCTATCTACGAAAATTCCTGTGAAAACCAACCTACCACCAGTTCAACAAATGATCGATTACAGAATACTAAATCTAATGAGTCCAAAGCAGTAGTTCATCACGTTGTTGTTGGTAAAGTGAATGTGTATAAATGTCGCACTCCTAATTGATACGGGGTGAGGAAGCTCTTACGCCTCCTCAAAACATTCCTCGACATTTTTAAGCAACAACTTGATAGAAATCCGATCTGTTGAGATGACCTTTGGCAAAATAAAATTGGTAGGAATTCATCAGTTAAAAATGACTGATGACGTAAAGAGGAATTTCAAATTTAAACAGAAGTAACACTAGAAGCAAAAGAGACTTTTATGCTTGAAAATCAAAGTATGCAAGATTAATTTCAGGTACGCATCTAAGTGGCATAAGCATGAATGATGATGACGACAAGGAGAAAACTCCCATTACTTTGAGTGTTAGGGCGGGGAATCTAATTTAAATCGCGTTAAAGCCAAGAGTTGGATCCCAAGGAGAGCCTGTGTGACCACAAAATTAGAATGGACAACCATGTCCTTGGGGAGGAGGCCTTAATAAACTGCTTTTTGAAGTACATCACCAAAATTTTGAGCAACTGTGTGATTAGATGTTGCTTGGACTCGGACTCTCGAACCAATGATCAGCAGAAATGTGTACAGTGAGTTTAAAGAGCAGCTGCAGAGTTATGAGGTTTTGTATGAGACAAGACCACCTTGAAAGATAAATCATCCACCGTTATCCAACAACAAATGTGGGAATATTAGAAGTTTAAACAGTGTGACTAAAAATACGAGAGAAACAAAATATATCATAGAGCAGTTATACAAGAAATTATTCTGAAACAGTTGAAGAAATAGTAGAGGCAGCAAAAATGGGCTCACGGCAAAGAGTTCTACTTGCCTTGTAAACCAGTGTTTAATCATTCAGCAGAAACAACAGAGTTATGGATCGTATATGACCGATCTGCGCGTGATGATGATAAAGCACCATCCATGAATGAATGTTTACAAGCCTGTCTACCTCCTTCAACTGTGGAAGGTGAGGGTGAGAGGAAGATTTCACATGATTGCGTTAACAGGGACCTAATGCAGACATTCCTCAGGTAAGAATACGTATGAGGAAGATCGGGATATGATGCGCTTCCATTGGGTACAAAAGATATAAAAAAAGAGCTGATAACCCTGCGTTTCAGAAAGCTCTGTTGGCGTGTCTCTTTCCGTTTCTTTTTGTAGGATTAATCAAGCAATACTTAGACAACAACAAACAGAACAACTAACATTTTAAAAAGTTAGAGACAATATACGTTAACGGCTTAGTCAGCGAGGAGAAACCATTGTACCTACAAACAAAATTAATCTTTGCCGACGAGCAGTTTACCTTGCACAAGTAGCACTTCAACGTACTGAACTGGAATCGGTACAACCGCAACAATCTTCGACGGATGAGACTAAATATACCAAAGCAAAATTGGGAGCGAAGACAGGCAGAAGAAACAATCCCTGGGCTTTCATGGACAAAACAGAAAGATCTTATTAAAGTTCGATACCTACGGACTGTGTCTCACAATACGAAGCGTAGGGGGTTGCTAAGACAGCGAAGATTTATGACCCACTGAGTTTGGTGTCTTCCGTCACGTTGTTGGACAAGCTCCACCATCGGGACTGCCGTGATGCCAAGTTATCGTGGGACGAGGAATTACCACAACAAATCAAAGATAAATGGTCATCCTGGGAAATATATTCCACAATCTATCAAATTTCCACTAAGTATCGTGTGTTTCCAGGAAACCATCCAAAAAATCGAGATGCATAACTTTGCTGATGCTTGCAGTCATGGAGTTGGGGCAATAGTGATGGCCATTGTCCATCAAGAGAGTGGTACGTGCAAGGACCTGGTGGCTGCCAAATCTTGTCTTGCTAAGAAGGACCTGACAATACCACGCTTAGACTTATATCTGCACATATGTAACAAATCTTTTTATAGCGTTAAAAAGGAAGCGCTGGACGGATTCCCAATGGGCAATATTTTTTACATTGCTGGACAGCACAGTAGCTCTCCATTAGATACGGAATGGTGGATTGAGTGGCAATTGGTAGGAATCGGGTAGGGAGATACAGGAAAAGAACTACATCCATTGGAGACACATTCCTGGACAAGATAATCATACGACCTAGCGAGCAGTGGTGGTAAAGTGAGTAAAGGAAACGATCGGTGGTGAATGAGTCCAAAGTGGTTGACAACGAAAGAATATTGGCTAGAGGACATCACAACTACAGCAACGGTTGAAAGTCTGGGGGAAACAAAACCTGTAACACAAATATTTAAAACTGCAACCCTGCTACATGACAAGTTTGGCGAATTGCTGAACAAATACGATATCTGGAAAACCTTGCTGATGGATCTCAAGATTTATCCAGAACAGTAGAAAACAAGGACAAAGGAAGTGTGGTCCATTGAAAACAAAGAAAATTAACAATCGGAGAAATTGGTGGATGAAACGAGTCAAAGCCCGAAATCTAGACATGTACACGGCAAAATTTTGTAAAGATCAGGAGAGGCTGTCAGAAGAGGCTGAAGCAAATTTTGTAAAGATCATGAGAGGCGTGAAGTGTGTATGGACGAATCCAAGAATTAACCAATTTACTTGCCCAAAAGTGATGTGTTCAAAAAAAAATTGTTCAACATTCCCATTATGTCACCCTTCTAGCCAGAACTGGTTTAACAATAGTGAAGGTATGTGAAAGTTACTGGGTTCCAAGATTAAGACAAATTGTGAAACGAATCATAAAGCGTTGTCACGGATGTAAAAATTTCAAACCTTTCCTACCCATTCCCTGTCTCCAAGAAATCTACCTGGAGCCGTTGCAGGTGGCGTTTACAGTTCCAAGTAGTAACTATATTAAGTCACTTTACAAACACCAAATAATGTAAGTTCATCAATCCAAAAATTGCGCTTTTACTGTAACGCTTTTCGTTAGTGCTGGCATAATGTTAACATTCTAAAGTTTTTGTCAAGCTCGGAACTTTAGAATGTTATGGATTCTTAACTCTTCCTCATATACTTCACAATGGTGAGTTGATCTTGGACATAGAACAGTAGAAATTGAAAATTTGCTAATATCTGCCTTGTATGAAACATTAAAATTTACATTTATAATGTTTTGCTGATGACTGATAATTGATCAATACATTGAATACACAGACTACAATTGACACAACACAGATGCTACAGTACCATTTATAGCTATGCTCTTAAAATTGGTCATCCCCTTTCATGGGTTTTCAATATCCATGAAATAAAATGAATTTTGCCATCTTCTCAAAGAATTGACAAGATCGAAAACAATAGACAATAAAACTTTCAGATTCTCATTTTAAAATTACACTAATATTTCATGACGGCCTGCTAATTAGCACTAACGTGTGACATAGGTAACGAAAAACCTAGCATAGGTTTTGAAGGTAACAGAATTGAAAAACATTTGCTGACAAACCTAAAACATTCTCGTATTTCATATGCATTGTAGAAATGTAGTAAAGTCATTCGATATTATTGCGTCCTATTTTTTTCGTGTTTTACTATTTACATATGAGCTATTTTAATGAACGGTTTGGTGAAAGTGTTTGAGTTAACGGTTGGTCATATTTTGTTTGAGAGTTGCCAAAATTATAGAATTTGACTAGCATACACGGTAGAGTCACGCGAGATCGCGCGCGTAACACATTGCACATAAATAAGGAGCGTTAGCCTACTGTGAAATATTTAAATTCTTTATGTTACCAAATATATCCACGTCAACGTAAGTTGAAGATTATTCTGGCGATATATGATCATGATATTAAGAATATTCCTTCCATCTAATAAAACGGTAAGATAAATTTTTATCCTTAGATGGCGACTCGAATTAATTTTAATTTACGTATCCGTCTAAGTAGAACAAAGACAGTTTTCATTTAAAATTTACTTAAGACTTTGACTAATGTAGGTATAGTTCGACCTTAAAACTAGTTTGCTTTGTTATTCTTGATAAGCATTTAAACATGGTTATTGTCAAACCATAAAATACAACAAACATAAACGAGATATTCAAGTTAGATTTCAAACATTGTATAGGAAATGAATATAATTGAAGCAGAACATTAAATCACTGTGTTTTACATGATTTTTCATGTTCGAAATTATTTTGTCATCTTTTAATCTTAAAATGATCGTTGTAGAGGGTTTTCATCCATAGTTACGTACATCAACATATTTTGAACTTTGATATGATAAAACTTGTTTGTTGATATGTGTTGATTTGCTACTGAAATAACATACAAAAGTCAATATTTTATATGTGTTCTTCATCTTTTATAACTGATCAATGATTGTGGACAATGTGTGGTTGCTAAATATATTTTTGTTGTAAGATTTGTCTATTTACTTGAATTAATTCATGTACAGGAAGATCAATAATTGCTGGGTGGGGGCTCATATTAATTTATGTATATGAATGTTTTTATTCTTCAGTTCCTAGCTATTTCATGTAGTTTGCCTATTTTTTTTAGAATAATAATCCAACCAATGAAAAATGGTTTTGGTCATAGAAGTACAGATTTTTTTTTCTAGTCAACTCTCATAAAATTATGTCCACCAATTTTTCATTGGTTTTCTTATTACAATGTTTTGTTGACCATTTTTGCTTTCATCACTTTTGTTGACTTCTTGACACACTCCTTTTGCAAGAAAAACTGTGGCAGGACTGTAGGATGATTGTTAATTTGGAGATCATATTATGTATGCATAATATAGGCTACATGTGTTAAGTTCCTTAAAAACCATTGTTGTCTAGGGATCATTACATCCAAATGTTTATGCCACCCCAACCACAGTATAGAGAATATACAGTGGACCACTTTCTGTGCAACTTACTGCTGTATATATAATTATATTACTGGGTGTAGTTTGCCAGCTCAGTGCACCTATTGGTCAAAAATGGTAGTGTCTGACTGCCACTATGGTAATCACTTGCTTGAATAAGATGCATGGCACAAAAATATTCAATGCAATCTACTGTATGTTCTCTATAAAATTATACTATATGTTTCTATAACCGTGCCCCAATTACATTATGTCTTCCTTAGGTCCAAAGTCGTGAATGAAGCATTAGTCAAAATAAATTCCACCTGCTCATTTTTTTTATTATAATAGCTTCTAAACAATGATAATGGTTATGAATTTTTAAAGAATAAAATTTTCAGTGGTGTAGCCAAACTGATAAAATGTTTAGTTCTTCTATGTACGTTTTTATATTCTTTTACTGTGAAAATAATAGGCATTTTACCTTGTGAGTCTTAAAGTGTCCCTTTCACCAAAACAATTTTTTAGCATTATTAAATCTGTCGATGATTTTAAGCCTCGTTGAGGAAAAAAATTTTAAAATTGGTCAAATCGTTTGATTTTTTTAAAAGCGTTAAATTCACTAAAATCGTATATTCTTGTAAACCATGTCCGTGATAGTGAGGAATCTAAAACTAGCTAATTTTCTGACTTCATCCAAGGTACTCCTGTTACACGAGTCGTGTATTCAATTGCTATCAAGTCAATGCGGGCTGAGGCACAACTTAAGTCTATAAGCGCCTAAAAGCATTGCCTTTGCACTAGTAAAAGCAGAAAAAGGTAAATAGTTGCGTTGCAGCCAATTGTACGAATGAGTCAAGCCTTTGCTCTCGTATGAGTCTTCACTATGCCTTATAATGATAAAAGGCCCGAGGCCAAGCGAAGACGGAATATCTGGGTTTTAAAACAAAGCGCGTATTTGAGCCTTCAGTGCTTCAACACTTTGTTCGGCTCGATTAAAACCAGAGGATTTGGAGCGTCAGTTTAGTAGTTTGCCGAATCAAAGAAAGCTAATTTTCCAGGGCTTAAAAAGATGAGATTAGAATTTGTGTCTTTCTGTTTCCATGCTTTGAAGTCAAAATCCAAATCATTATCGCTCAAGTTTCATTGCTTTCCGAGTTTTCTGTCACGTATCCGGAATAAAGTTTTTGTCAAATTATCTACTGAACACTCAATTCTGATTTTGATTCATCGCTTTCTCTTAAGACATAATTTTCTGAATATTGTAATTAAACAGCGTGAAAAGAACGTATATGTTTAATATAAGCTAAATATGCCAGAATGCTGACTATTTTGGATGACGTCAAAATACCTTCTAGTGCCAGTATCTTTTGTATTATAGAAAACGACGTCGTTAGGCCAAAAATGTACAACTTCAAGATGCCATAAAACTTGATTTGATAAATTTCTGGAATTTCTCAGAGGCAAAATCATAGACTGATTTCATATTTAACTAAACAAATTTTGTGGCAATACTGAAAAAGTGTTAAAGTGAGGCAGTCATCTGTCTGTCAATAGTATAGAACATAGTAACAACTGCGAATGATAACGAATGGTATTGTTTTGTCTTGTATATTCAATGCTTGGAACTTGTGCTTACACTGTGCAGTCCATGCTTGTAATTTTGTTCTGTATTTTATTCGTATATCACGTGAACATAGCACACATAACATGCACTAGGCGTAAGGAGAGTAAAAATTAATGATAATTACTGAGCATTTTATTAAACATCACAGAGAACGTTACAATACCAAAGAAATGCAAAGGGAAGAAATGTTTCATTTTGTGGCATTTGACATGAAAATTATTTTGTTATTTTTCATATGTTATTATTACGGAATGGGACTTGACTTTTAGGAGAAATGGCCTTGGGACTTCCGCAATTTAATGAAAATACAACATAAGCACCAGTTGACTACTGTACTGTTTGTTCCATATACACAACTCTAGTCAAGGCTACCCACTTACACTCATTACCTATTTTTATGTACCTTGTACATCTAGGGACGTTGCATGAAGCCTGGATAGCATTATTCGTCGGATAGTAAAATTTTTAAATTTGTAGAAAAAGGTGTTTATATTTTGTTTTTATGAAAGAAATTTTGTAGTCTCAGAAGCAATATTTTTTTTTCAATAATTGCTCAGTTCAAATCACATATTATTCGTATTTAAGAGATTTTGTAAAAGTTAAAACAATTTACCATCTAATGGATAAAACTATTCTGCCTTGATGTAACCCAGGTTTTCGTTATAATCACAATGAATTTGTACCAAAAGTTTTACCTACTTTTTTTAGCTAGTGACATGGGGTGTCTGAGAGCTCAGACAAAGAAAACTAATGGTTTTAAGTTGATGAGATTAATTGTTGATGTTGGTGGAGAAGCTTTAAGAATAACATTGAGGAAACAACTGTCAGGTACTGATTTATTTAATGTTTTAAAGACAGAAAATTATAATAAACTTTTGTTGCTAAAAGATAAGCAAATAAAGCAACATCAATGGGATCTACTGTATCCTCCTTCTCAAATATTACCAAATGAAATGAAGTTTGACATTACTTTACTTTGTATACTCCTGCATAATATTTGTGGTTTAAAACCACCTCGTGATCCAATATGGACGTCATGCCTGGTGTCACTGATCATTCAACTGAAGCAGATATTACCCGTATCAGGTTATTTCGTAATGATCGTTTTGCTCACTTACCTAACACTTCAGTAAGCTCTTGATGACTTTGAAATTTTTGGGTAGAAATAAGCGAACCATTAGTTCGTTTAGGAATAAGTCAGGAAGAAATAGATAGATTGAAAAATGAGTTGTTTGGTAATGAAGAATGAAAGAATTTTGAAAGAATGGGACGAATTCAAATTTGATGATAGAAGATCATTTGTGTGTGATTGAAAGTAATCAGGAAGAAATAGAAAAGATTTCAAGGAAGAAATAAAAAGAATCAGGAAGAAATGAGAAGCAATCAGGAAGAAATAAAACGTCAAATTCACTCACGTCCAGAAGAAGATATTTTGACAAAAAAACTTGTAAGTTGTAACTTTGAAAGTGAAATTAGACATCATTATGAAAAATTTTTAGAGGGAACACGGAATGGGTTTTAATGAGTTTTAGCTTGGTTCGAAGACGACAGTTCTCAAAATCGTGCATTTATTATTTCTGCTGTTGCTGGTATGGGAAAGTCTGTAATTGCAGCTACTTTATGTAAACGTTATCCACAATATTTGACTGCAGTTCATTTCTTTCAACACAACAACAGTCGTTACAATAAAGCCAATGTACTTCTTCAATCTTTAGCGATGCAAGTTAGTCGTAAGTTTCCTGCTTACAAACAACTTCTTGTGAAAACTTTCAGGGTCAACTCTCTGAGCCTTTGAATAACATGAATGTTGAAGGATTATTTTCCTTCTTTTACTGAGTTGTTTTGTAATATCTCAGAGTTCCCAAGCGAATGTTAGTTGTGCTTGATGCTCTTGATGAATGTGGTTATCCAGAAAGAGATGACCTTGCTAATTTGATTGCTAATCACTTGCACAAACTTCCGCATTGTTTTCGCTTTGTAATTACCACGAGACCTAACGAAGTTTCTTTGAATAAGTTCGAAAAATTAAATGCTCTGTTCATTAATTGTAGCGATGATCGCAATTTAGACGATATTAATTTTTTGATTGAAGAAAGAATTGGCGCTACTGACAGCATTCTTGGTTTTAAAAATATTTTGGCAGAAAAGGCTGACGGACTTATGTTGCTTGCATCACTTCTTAGCAGCGAAGTCAAAAATCAGGATTTGTTGAAAGGTTCCATACCAAAAGATCTCAATGAATATTGCGAAACTTGCCTAGCAAGATTAAGTAAGGAATTAGATTCGTTTCATGTTAGTAACGAAAAATTTCAGTCAATTTTAAGTGCTCTGGCTGTTGCTAAAGAACCTCTTCCTTGGGAAATGATCGATGACGTTCTTTGTTTGAATTCGAATCGCGACTCAGTTGCGGTTAAAAAAATTATCTCTTGTCTATTTGTTAGCAATGAACAAGGATGTGTTTCGTTTTTTCACAAATCTTTAAATGATTGGTTGTTGGATTATCGAAAACATGATTACTCAGTCAAAACTTCTTGTGGTCATCGACTTGTTTTAGAATTTTGTTTAAAATCATTGGATAACCTCAAAGCTGAAGGTGTAAACTATGACATCATCAAACATTCGTCAGTGAGGTATTCAGTTAAGTATTGGTTGCTTCATTTACTTGATATTTCTGATAATGAATGTATCGTTGAAAATGTTGGAAAATATCTTTTTGACTTAGAAGTTTTAGTTGCTTCTGTGTTGCTTGATGGTCGTGGGACTTTAAACATTTTTTCCTTTTTCAACGCACATGATGTGTACTTTCATATTTCTGAGGACATTCGATTGTTATTTAATGAAGTTTATTCTGTAATGACGCACTCTGTGCTCTCTGACAATGAATTAATTTGTTTGCAATACGTTGCCAACGAAGTCAAAAATCTGTCATCTCAAGCCACCGCAATGCTTCAAACACGTTTCAAAGATTTACCATATCTAGAGTGCAGAGACACGGGTTTTGTAAAGGCTCGATTATTACGTTTAAATCAAATTTTGATTTCTGTTGATGTTTCACGAAATCATGATTACGTCGTCTGTGGTTATGAAGGATTCATCGTGCAACTTTTTTCATTTAGAACAAACCGATGTTTATGGATAAAAAATATTGCTGGTCAGTTTAAGCTACATAAAAACAAAAACGTTTGCGTTGTCTTTCATCCATTCGAAGATTTGATTTTTGCTTCTCAGCTTGATATATAGATATTAATGGTAAAATTTCCTCCAGTCCGTTCCATTGTGATGATTCTACTTCTAAGTTCTTTACCAACAAATGTTTTCTAAGGATAATACACAATGGTCACTAGTTACAAATATACTTTGACAGTATGGGACGTTAAGAAAGGTGAGAAGAAACGCAGTATTAGATGTAATAAAGTGACCTCACTGTGTTTTCTAATTCTGGAAAATTTGTGTGTTATTGGGAAAAAGAAAAGAGTGGTTCAAATATTTGATGTAGTAATATGAAACATTCGTTTGTGACGATCATTTACGTTGTGCTTTAAATTACAGTATTTGTTTTATTTTGTTTACTGTTGGTCTTCATTCTTGGTGTTGTGGCATCCTTATTTTATGGATAAACATTTCATTGTAAATCCCACTGGTGAGAAACTTCCTGACGTAGATCCTGCTTCTCAAACTTCGTTTTCCTCTTGATCCTTTGATGACAGATCTAGATTTTCCTTTAATGGGTGCAGAAATGTATTATTTTATTTTGAACAACGACAATGTTCTTTGGTTTAAATACGGATATGACTTTTATCTTTATTCAATACCGCGTGCATGTTTAACTAACAGTTACAGTTCAAGTAACCAAAATTTTGCTCAAATGGAAAATTTCTGTATCGGAGCAATGAAGAAATTCAGGGTAATTATACAATCTCAACATTTGACTTTGTTGTCAAGGAATGTTTTTAGTGACATGGTTTGTAGAAAATGGAGTTATTTTGCTTACGGTAAAAATATTCCTGAGCTTTGGAATAATGATTTGACAAAACTTGTTTATAGTTTCGATGAACTAAAAGTACAAACAAAATTTTTGAGGTGAGTGATGTATCATTTGCTTGTCAAAAAACTGATTCTTTTGTGTTTTTCAACGTTGAAAACAAGCGAAAAGAGATATCAGTGAATTTTGAAAATTATCGAAATGTGCACGTGTTTGCATGAAGCTCTAATTATCATGTGTTTGCTAAAGTTGAATTTAAGGATCAGATAATTTACTCTATGTGGCATGAAGACAAACTTGTTAATGGTTGGGATGACGTAATTAAGGAAGAAATCACCAATTTAATCTCCGATAAAGTATTGAAAGTACATGCGTGATATTACTCCTTATAACTTACGCTGCTTTTCACCTTCAGCAGATAAATTATTAATAAGTTACATGCGTAAGTATGTGAAGTATTTGACGTTAAAACATACAAATTATTTATAGTTATTTTGAGGTTTCCTTGGATCAAAGTTTTTCTTTGTTGATGATAGGTATATAATTAGTAATTACTTAGATTTGATTGATTTGAAATATTTTAAGATTGTAGATTTATTTCTCGTGTATGAATATAATTCCAAGAACTTTATATTACTGTCGTAAACGCAAACTTGCTTTAATTTTTCTTCCTTAAAGGTCCGGTACAATGCGTAAAAATCATCTTCCCACGAGAATAAATTTGATCTTTAATGATAAAATTTCTCACAATTTGGAATGATGACTAATTTATCTTCAAGAAAATCTTGTTCAGTTTTATGCATGATCCCTATCATTGTTGACATTTCAATTAATGTCTGTTTGCGTATGATTTCATGCGAACCTTTGTCTAATTTGATTGTTCTGTACAGAGACTGCAGTGTACGATAATGTCAACATTGAGGAGATCATGTATAAAAGCTGAAGTTAATCAAATTAAGATTTAATGACAATAAAGACAAACCATAAACACAAATGATTTCGTGTCTAAGATAATAATTTTCTTGCACAAGAAATAATTTTATTGACTTTTATCTTATCACACAAACATATAACATGCAAACTTTTGTTAGTTATTGCATCATCGGTTATATTTTGTTTATATCTACACCATTTAAACATATAATTTTCATGAAATGTATTCAGTGTAGGATGGTTTTAATATTGCACGTTTTTCGATACTCTTTTACACCAAAACAAGTTTTACTAATTAAATCAATACTATCTTGAACTGAAATAATTTCTTAATACTTTTAATTATTGCATTTTGATATACAAAATATCTATGTGTTAAGTTGTTAAGAGAGACAAAGACAGCCCAATTGTTACTTCGGTTATATGAATATTTTCATCTTTATCAATTTAAAATTAAATTTATAATAAAACAATGGTACCTTTGCTAATTTTTTCAAGAAAAACTAAAAATTTGGCTGTCTTTCTCACTGACTGTTAAAAAGTAAATCGTAAACTCCACAAGAAAATGACTTCATGATTGACGTTCATCATCGTGATAAACAATTTAACCATTGTGACTGAACACTCCAAACCGTATAAACAGGAAAAGTTAACAAAGTCAAAGAAAGTTTTGCAATATAGAGAGACAGAAAACAAACGACAATGTCGCATATGGAGAGATGTTTAATGACAAGTTTTAACTTTTAATGAAAAATGATATCAAGCATTGTTAAAGTTTGAACACTTTTACTTATTGAATCAATACTTTATGGGAATTATTTTTAACAACATCAACTCAATTATCAGTGGACATACTGCAAGTTACTTTGCAAAAGTTTGATATGTTTATGGCTTGCTATAAAATTCCATCGTCTACTCTTAATTCAAACGTTAATACAAGAAGCAGAAGCTTTATTTCAGGAGTGATGACGTAATGAAAGAAATGAAATTTATGTACCATGGTTCTCTGTGGATTTATTGTTGTACTTGAACGTCACCCAGGTCACGTGTTCATTGAAATATCATTTGTGGTCATAATAGGAAGATATGAACTTTTACATTTTAAAATGGTGAAGCTGCTTGTTCATTTGTTCACTTTTATAAACTGAAGCAAGAAAATTATTATCTCATGTGGACGTTTTGATGTGAACATAACGGAAGTAATCATGAGAGTTGAATGAAAAGAATTTAATTTTATTATTATTTGGCTATTGGAATATGCTAAAAGGATTTTTGAGTTGCATCATAATTGAAGCAATTCTTCATTCAAACACTGTCATTGTAAAAATTATAACAGTTGATCGCCTTTATCTACTTGAATGATACTATAAACTGTGTGATATGAATTAAGATCATAACAGCAACATGTCATGAAAATTCAAACAAACTCAACTATGAATGGTTGTAAAATAAAAGTGATCAGTTTAGTTCATATGATGGTCAACAATTCATTTACAACAACTAAGAACTACATCAAGTTACGAGAATGAAAAGTCTGTAAAATTAATGTCTTTCTTTTGCAAGATATTACATTTATAAATCCACTTTGATTTATTTTTGATATTTTGAACAATTTTAAGTCATATTTTTATTCATACTGTTTTGTACATCGTTACATATAGTATAGTTACGCTTTTCTTTTTAAAATTTCAAATGCTATAAATAAATGAATCACATAACTCAACTCAATTTTTGTATTAATAATAATTTGCCAACTGCCATGTGAAGAATGAGATTACTCGTGCTTTAAAAAGGAGTTATCGTATCTTGAATTAAAAATAGCAATTTCAAAATTAGCATTGATTAGTTGTATATAATATTTTCACTCACATTCAGCAACATTATTTGTTGGTAACTGTCATTTGTAAACAAGATGAAAATACCGTATTATCAAAACAGAACAATTGCAGTTAATTTTAAAGACTTGTTGGGATTCATTCATTTAGCACTTATAATAAATAATGTAATGAGAACTTTCTTTTTCGCACTGAGTTTTTTTGAACTCTGTTTTTAAGACGTGTTAACATAGTGTTATTATACTAGTATTTTAATGTAGGAGATAATCGTTGTATTAATATGTTTTCTGCACAAAATTTTTACAATATATGTGTGAATTATATATCGTGTATTAAATAAGCTTTCATTTGTTTCCTACACAATATATATTTTAAACCCTCAGGGACAAAACTTGCTTCTTCCCCGTGGAAGCGTACAGAAGTGTTTTGCTACTTTTGAAAAAGAGTATAAATTTTGACAACTTTCCAATAAAATCAACATTTTCTTGGGAGAGTCAGCAGAGCGAAATTTCGTTGCGAAATGCTAAAGATGACCAGCATTTTAGGTAGACTTTCGAGTGTTTTCTTAATTCTTTTTATTAATATTTGATTTCGTTGCTTAATAAGCTCGAAACTTTTTATTTTTCGGTTTGGTGGCTGTTTTATTCGTTATGATAGCAGCACCTTTTCACTTGTTTACTGGCAGGAAACCATGCATTTATTTCAAGTCATGACTATAATCATGTTACTAGGGATGAAAGTTGTGAGAAAACAACAAAGAACGTATGTAGAACTTAAAGTGTTTGATGTTAGTTTCTTCAGAAATTTACATGAACCGAACGCATTTAAAATAAAAGATAATGAAATTCATCCATTCTCTTTTGTCTTTGTACATTCGGTGCATGTAAAAGTTCGACATTGAAAACAATGCCTTAGATTGAAATTAAAAGGTATCACAAAAACACTTCAATCTTGAAGGAAAAGACATTAATATTTTTGATAAACATCTGAACACCATGTAATTTTTTTTATTGTGTCTATAATTAAATTAAAAATTGTATTGGTAGTCCTGATTTCCAGACTTTCAGTAGCGGTTTGAAATGGTGCATATGCCATGTTGTTCGTCATGGTCATTTTACCAAAACAGGACAGATTACCTCCGGTAAATAAAGTGAATACAAACTCTTAAACGGGTTTTCGACTATAGCAACATGCACTAGTTTCTATCTGATTTTTTCATCGTGAAATTTTTGGATGTCAGGAGAAGCGTCTTCCTTTCAAATTTTGCTTCATTCATAATGGTTAGCCGTTAGCAGTTAGCATTTGATACACAGACTTAAGATCAGTTTATATAGGCTAAATAAATTGGATGTTTCTTAAATTCAAATTGCCAGGATAGTTTTCAAATATCGACAACCTTATTCCGATTTTGCAATGTTTTAAAGCTCAGTTAATTTTTCTCGTGTCATGGGCGTGTATGCTACTGGACGTAAATGGAACCAAGATTGTTA